CTATTTGTATTATTATTACCTCAATCAACCCAATATTTGCTGTTCTCAGTGTAGCACAGGATAAAGGTTCTGGTTCCTGACCACTTGTACTTGCATAATTGGTTGGAGTACATTTTCCCAAATTGGGTGTCAGTAGTCCCTCTTCATGTGATGATAGTGAGAAAGCTAGGGGCGCTTTACCCCTTTCCTGCACAAAAGTAAGTAATATAATACTTAAAATAGAAAACAAGTGCACAAGTGTAAACTTTCACAAAGCAAGCAGATAATATTAGAGCTCAAGGAACATGAATTATTACATGTGAGGCTGACGACTTGCTCACGTTGCTCATTGTTGCTGCGAAATTGTAACAAATTAAAACTAAAAAGCAAAAGACAATAAAATAGAAGTAAATACCTTTTCTTGAATATATATGACCATTATTATTGACAGGATTCTTGCTAGCACATTTGTATTAGCATATGCAAGGAGTTTCTCAAATATGTGTGTGTGTGTGTGTGTGTGTGTGAGTGTGTGTGTGAGCGTGTGCGTGTGCGTGTACGTGTGCGTGTGTGTGTGTGTGCCTGCAATATCACAACATCCGACCCTTTTATTGTTCATAGCAAAGCATCTCAGCAAACTGGAGATAAAATAATCAAAATTTGCGTAAAGTAACCAATGCATGAAAAGTGAATGAAGGTGTGCAAAGTAACAAGACTCCAGTGATTAGGTACCAAATCCAGAATGGGGTAAAATTGCATATATTTTACTCCAACAAATTTGAAATGCCATGATATAGTTAATGAGGTGCTCCAAGAAACGTACCAGAAGCACAGTCAACCAGCAACTGCTCGTTTATTTCTGAATGCATGGGAAATTGTCCTGATTGAGAATCAATTTGTGCTTGTGTGCCTCCTACGCTTGGATTTTCCTGTAACTAAACCGAAGAAGAGTCTTGTTTCTAGACATTATTGCACTTGTAAAAAGTCAACTTTATCTGTTCCAAACCAAGCCATATGTAGAGGGAGATTTCTCATGAGTACTCACTCCTTGGTTCAGCCATTCTCTGAAGGAGGCAAAGTCACAGCTCACCGTCCACCACTCAAGCAAAAATCCTTCCGGTACATCTACTGCTGCGAAAAATAGACCATATTTTCAAGTCAAGAAATTTTCAGTCACCTGAAGATGTATAGTTCTGAACATAATTCAAGAATACAAAAGTGGAGAACTAATGTATTAGTGTTTTATATTATAATTAATAATAGTATGCCTCTGAATGTGGAATTTTACATTGGCGTCAACCCTATTTAGTACTCTGCACAAGAGTCCTGACGGAGCAGTCTACAAAGGAAATTAAAGAACAAGTGGCACACAAATATATGCTAGAGATGTACTATAGAGCCAAAGAAATTTCGAAAGATTTGTAAAGCTAACATGCTAGAGCTGTCCAACGTCCAATGTCTGGTGTCTAGAGTAATTACCTCCAACCCCAATTTTTCATCTTTTGACGCTAGCACTGTCTAGCGAATTCTTGGAACAGTTACCACAATAGTAATGACTTCAGATGCTGAGTGTCCTAAACACTGGCAACCGTCCATCTAGGGGTGCAAATGTATTGACTCCCATAAATTTATTGGGCTTACGTTTGTTCAGCTCACAGCCTCACACAACTACCCTCCAATTTTTACGTCCATATCAACGAAAAAGAAATCATTTTACCCTCTGCCCAAACACTCAACCACCAATCCACCCGAGTCTTAGCTGCAAGAAATTGAATTCAAGGGAAAGGGAAGTAATTGCGTGTCACAACCTTGGCAACCTTCCAATCAATTAAATGCATGCATATCACAATAATTACATATACGTAATCATTTGAGTGAAACCGACTCTCTATAATGATTATATCATTTTCTACAATCAGGGAAATCAGGGTATCACGACTATACGTGGAGGAACCAAACCACTACAGATACATTCATTTACCTGGTGGAACATTCGGATCAACTTCAAGATTAGCCTCATTCTTGAAAGTTTTGGCAAGTTCTGGCAAATTTTTCTTCATGAAATAGTCATGAAGGTAACGATCCAACCTTCAAAATCCCAGAAGAAATAACTTGTAAGACAAGGGAAAACAAATCAGCGATTCTCCAGTGATCTAAAACAGTAGAAACGACAGCCAAAAAGAGACAGAAGATCAAGAGTACATTCGGCGAGCATCGAAATCTGCCATGAGGACTGCGAATTTCCGAACCCAGAAGCAGAGAGAAAAGTCTCAGGAGAAGAAGAAATAGAGAAGAAGGCGATTATGCGAGAGAAGAGTAAATGAAGAACACGAAACGCTTATAGATTTTGAAGGGAGAGAGACGGGTGGAGCAATAAGGAGAGTGAAAAGTGGAGGTGCATGGCTTCATGCAGCCAAACGAAGTTATGGATTTGAGTCAGCAACGGCGGTTGTCTTCTTACACAGTCAGCGTTGAACTCCACGTGTCAATTTTTGCTTACTTCATCCTCACGATTGTGGGGTTGATGGGTGAGCATTAAACACTGAATATAAAAATATTTTTCCAAAATTAAATATTATCTTCCTCCTGTGAATGAAATTAGATGAGGGTTCATGCACTCTCTTTGAATAGTAATGGTTACAAATAAAAATAAATATGGTGAAATTAAGTACATTTAATCTTTGAATTTTAGTCTAAGGAAAAGTAAAGTGCATTAAATAATTATTTATATGTTCTAACTTCTCTTATCTTTTGTACATTGAATTTGTATTTTCTAAGTTGGTTGGGTGTATTTTAAATTCATACATTGTATAATAATGTACCTATAATGTTGTGTAATTCATTGGACTTTGAAGACATTTATTGCTTCCTCCACTCTTAAATATTGGACTGAGATAGATAAATTATTTATAGAAGTTAAAAAAATAGTTAAATTAATTATTAATAATAAGATTTGTGTTAATTTTTAATAATCATTACCATTATTAATTATTAATAGAATTTTCCTTTAATATATGCAATTAAAAGGGAAAAAAGATTATATAATTTAAAAAATAAATTAAATTAAAATCTTATAATTAAAATAAAAACAAATTCTTCAATTAGATCTTATAAATTTCTCCATATTAATTTTTTCACTCGAAGATCGTGGTGATTTAAAATTCTTCTACAAGTTCGATGCACCGAATTGAAAATAATTTTATATGTGAAAAAATAAAAATGCCTTAACAGCCGAAAATTAAATATATCAAAAGTAAACGCAACATATCACAATCAAACATTGCCTTACACCTTGTCAAAATTAAGTACGTAGTTATCACTTGTCACACCTTTATTTGTCAATTTTTTAAGTGCCTTTAGTGATTAGACATGGGTTTAATTAGATTCACAAGCGCTGTTCATCTTTTAACAAGCTGACATCGTGAAATGAACCTGCAAATGTTTGGTATGTTATGCTTTCACAGGTTTTATAAAACAGCTTTGCAAATGCAAGTCGTGCACCATAATTTACAATAATTCTATTGATATATATATACTCCTCCGATTCTAAATATAAAACCTTTATATTTAGGATCAGAGGAGTATTTTTTTTTGCTAAAGTGTAGGTATCGTTCTATTGGAGACAATCCTATTCGAAGTACTGTCAGACACTAAATGTAAGCACCTTTCCCAACAGTGATTCGAACCTTGGTTTGCTACGTTGTGAGGGACTAGCCCCTTCCGTTAAACTCAATTCTTGTTGGTTAATTCTATTGATATTGATAACTGGGTTTTGACAAATTAATATCGAACATGTCATATTTAATTATAAAGTAAATTTCAATTCAAGTTATAAAGTAAATTTCAAGTTATCACTTAAAAGTGAGGAGTGTAAAAATTAAGATCGTCATTACTTTCAAAATTTTAGTGCTAGATCTGTTCAATTTAATTTTAAGATTGTGCATTAACTTTAAAGGTTTTGATATTATTTCATGAATAAGACATAAGTCACGTAACAATTAAGATTGTTATTTACTTATTAGAATATATAATAAGAGATGCATGAAACAGTACTGATATTGAATCTGTTCATGCACAGGCAGAAAATCACTCGCACAAAGTAGATAATTCATTTGATTGATTCATCTATACACATTTAAATCGCAACCAATCATATTATTGTATTTACTTTTTTTTTTTTTTCCATAGCAAGTTAACAACAGCCAACAGCTTCACATAATCCACGCCAGCCATATCAACCTCTCCTAAACACAATACATTTAGATTACATGCCAATCACATATTTATATTTTTGCAAATTATATTGTACATTAAATGTGAATATCTTTTTTCAGTAAAAATTTAAATATTGATTCGTCATGTCATAAAAAATTAGTTCTTTCTATTAGATTTAACTCCAATAATAAAAACATAATTAATTCTAATATTATCAATTTTAATTTTGTGCACGTCAAACACAACAGATTATTTTTAATTTCATTAATTATAGAAATAATCTTTAAAAAAAACAAGACTGCTGGATTTTAAAATTTCAAATAAGTATTGGTTACTACATTCGTAAAAAAAACTAAACTTAAAAAGCAAATAATAATATATTTTTATAGTAATTTTTGATTTAAAATTTTAAAATTTAACAGTTATTTTTTAAAAAAAAATTTCAAATTATTTACGTGGTTAATAAAAAGGAGTACAAGCCATCCACGACTTCCCTTCGCGCGCTTATTCTTCATGCCAACTCAACGTCAATGAGGACCAGCCACGTCAAGTATTCGACGGGCCATTAGACACCGTCCAAACAAAAAAAAGGCTATACTAACGACGTCATAGCACGTGGCGTCTTTTGATTGCCGAAGCACGAAACGCATAAACTCGAAGTCGAACTTTGCATTTTGTGACGATCATGAGCCGCGAAAAATTCAGGTTTTTATATTTTTTTAATACTTTTGAACAAGATTTAAATATAGCTTAGCGTCCGCATCTCCAGAAGCTTCTGCAAGGTCACATCTCCTTTTGTTAAGCCTTTCCTTTCTTCTTTCCGGGCTAAAATTGCTCCTCCTTGAGAATTGAGGGACTGAGAGATCTTGCATTAACTAACAAAATCTGTTGGAAGAGGATTTTCATCATCTGCTTCTAAGGTGTGCTTCAAATTCATTCTGTTATGGACGTGAACGATTTTTTTTCTGTATTGCCTTTTCAATTCATGGGAATTCTGCTTGCTTATCTGGCTATAAATCTCTTTTTTTTTAAGGTATTTGCATTGGTATTCTAGTTAGCATATGTTTTTAAATTTTAGACTTGGAATTTTTGGCGGAGGTGATATGCCTTTTAATGTACCTGGGTTGAGTTTGCTTGTATCAAGTTTTTGTATAAGCGTTCGAGATTTGAGAGGGTCTGGGTCTGCGTTTTCCGAGGGAGATATGACAAAGGTATAGTGTCGGATTTTGTGGACTTCTTGTGTGGTGACTTGTATTCATAAACTGGAAGGGGCCGTAAGCCGTGGCAAATTTTATTCATCTAGAAAAATGGATCTTAAAAAACCGAGTCGGGTAGATGTAGTATTATTTGTTTCATGAAACAGGAAGAAACTGCTAGCCTGTAACTGATGTCTCAGTTAAAATAGTTGGCTTTGAAGCACATTTAAATTTTGAGTAAAGAGCAAATCAGTTGGTTGAAATATTTATTTGTAAAGTTTTGTAATTGAGAATTGCCAAGCTTAAGTGAAGTTGATTGAAAACTGGTCTTTGGCTGTTTCAAATAAGTATGCTGGAAACTGGTGATGCTTTTACATGTTGGGTCAATTAGAAAGTTAAAAGATTATATGCTGATGTTTGATTGAAATTGTATCATTAATTTTTTGGTACAGTAATGTCAGTTTCTCGTTGGAGTGTGGTATTTTATGTTTTTGGGCTCTTCTCATTTTTTTACTGATTTATTGATGTGTGGGTTTGTTTGATTCTTAAATCTGTATGTGGTCTGATTTGTTGCAGATGTCTTACTCCAGAAGATCAAGGTTAGATCACAAAATAGTTTAATTTTGTGCGTATTTTAAGTGGTGAAGATTTTTTTCCCTAAAGGTATTCTGTGTACTTCATAGGTATTCTCAATCACCTCTGTACAAGCGGTATGGTAGGTCTGTTTCCAGGTCTCTGTCAAGGTCAAGATCTAGGAGCTTTTCAAGGTAGACTCCCCCCCCCCCCTTTTTCCTGAGTTCTTTCCTGTCATGGACTTTTTTTTTCTTCACTTATTTTCTTGCTTCAGATGTTTTATTTTCCGTTCATATCTAATCTGTTATTTTCTGATACAGGAGCCCATCAAGAGATGCGGAGAATCCTGGCAACAATTTGTATGTGACAGGGTTGTCTCCTCGGATTACCAAGAGAGAGTTGGAGAAGCATTTTGCAAGCGAGGGAAAAGTATGCTGATTTTCTCTTACATTATGGTCATTGATGTCGTTTTTCTGGACTAACTATTGTTTGTTTAATTTCCTCTCTTTGAATTGAGAGATTTTGTGTCAATTTGTCATTCTTTTTTATGCCATTCTTGTGTTGCTTACTTTAGGTGATAGACGTTCACCTGGTTGCTGATCCATGGACAAGAGAATCACGAGGGTTTGGATTTGTGACAATGGAAACTGTTGAGGAGGCTGACCGATGTGTTAAGTATCTGAATTCGTCTGTACTGGAAGGGCGTGTCATCACAGTAGAAAAGGTATACTTTTTTAAACGTAATTTGGTTCTGAATAGTATATCTGTTCACTGTTGATTCAATTCATCTCGCCATGATTTTGCATGAGATATATGGATTAGTTGCTCATAGTTCTTTGTGAGATTTGAAAGCTTTTTGCTTCTTTCCCTGTGAAGTTTCCGCGGCAGCAGGTTAGCTGTGTGTAGCAGCTCTTCATCAAACTCTCAAATCACCACTAAACATACAAACCAAACACATCAACAAGTATCAGACCATTGGGGTTGTATGCCCTGCACATTTCTCTCTCTTTTCTTACCATTTTATGCTTGAATATGGTGTTTCGATAATTGTTATTCTTCTAACCGCTTGTGTAGTATTTGATTTTACCATTTACCATACGAAGTATATAGTTTTTAAGGCCTCATGCCGTTATTTACAATCATTACAGGCTAGAAGAGGTCGGGGTCGAACCCCAACACCTGGGAGGTATCTTGGGCTAAGGACTGTTCGAGGCAAGCATTTCATCTTCATTCTTTCTTTTTGTGTGATTATACTGGCATGCTCATTCATCTTTAACATCCCATGTGATTTTCATGCAGTGCGTCGTCATCGATCTTCAAGCTATTCTCCTCGCCGCTCCTCAAGTTATTCTCCTTACGGAAGAAGCTATAGTCGATCACCATATTCTTCTGATCGCAGCAGGAGTCGTTCTTATTCTCCTTATCGCAGTCGACGGAGGTCTTGCTCCCCATATTATTATAGTCGGGATAGATCATATTCTCCTTATTATCGCCGAAGATCCTATTCTCCTTATTATCGTCACAGGTCATGCTCTCGATTCTGCTCACCATACAGCAGGTCACCTGTCAGAAGGCGCGATAGATCATACTCTCCTTATGACTCGCCTGACGATCGCTACTACAGAAGATACCGTTATAGGTCCATTTCCCCAAGTGCCTCCCCAAGGCCAAGGAGAAGCTCGAGGTGGTATTCTCGCAGTGTCTCTCCTGTGAAGAGGAGGAGCTTAAGGAGGAGCTATTCTCGGAGTCTGTCCCCTAGGCCAAGGAGGAGTTCACGAAGGAGGAGCTATTCTCCAAGTCTGTCCCCAAGACCAAGGAGGAGCTCACGAAGGAGCTATTCTCGCAGCATTTCTCCCAGACCAAGAGGCAGTAGAAGGGTTTCTTCTAAACGTTATAGAAGCTACTCAAGAAGTCCAAGTGTGAGTGCAAGTTCAAGATCGGTATCAAGGTCTTCTACTCCTGGATCAGCGTCTCCTTGAAATTTGCTGGTTCTGTTTTGGCTTTGCCTTTATATTCCTAGTTATTATTGGTGGGGACCAGATATGTGGTAGTGTATTTGATTTTTTTAGCTGTGTAAGGATTAGTCTCAGTAGACAGTATTCCATCGTTTATCATATTAAATAAATAATAATATTAATGGTGGCAAAGAAGTGACCAATGTTGGTGGCTCCTTCTTCCCTATTAGAGGCTCAGCGTGATCTCTCTAAAATTCCAGCATTTTGTTTTGTAACATGTTTTTAACATCTCATCGCGAGACGCTACCCCGTTAGAGTCATTTTAAGCTAGATGAATGGAGTACTAAGGCACGTGTTGTTAATTCTCTTAACTAGATTTCAACTCCGTACGCGTTTCGTTGAGCCTGCATCAGTTCAATCGGACTCGTAAATGCACATTCTAGTTTTAAGCACGTTCTATCACAATGAGATTCTCCTCAAGTTGAAATCGACCCAAAGCATCCTTAAAACGTTAAAAGATCAGCCTTCCTCATGTGTGCGTCACCCTGTCAAAGTCCAACTTCAATGAATTGAAGACAACCTCATGGTAGCCAATTATACTTGCCAGAATTTCTGCCTTACGTTTTTCGGTAATTCAGTGTTATCAATGATAAATTAGACGGTCATTGTATGAAACATAATTAACAGGTACGTTATACCCAACTATTATAACCCACAAAAATTTCTTGGTGAGCGTTAGCTTCTAACATTATTCGTAAATAATTCATTAGAAAAAATAGTCTTTCAAGGAGAGAGAGAGACCAAATATCTAGCACAAGTTGCATGTGTCAAGTGTTGGCTATCACTGAAAAGGAAAAAAGAAAGAAGAAAGGAATGTGTTCTTATATCATGCTATCTAACTTTGAAGGCATCCTGCTTACCCAGTTCTCAAATAATGCAGGAATCGGTGAACGGAATCTTGGATGCCTCAGCAAATAAAGGACACAAATGCTTATAACAAGTTGGAAAGGAATGAACAAAGTCACTATCCCCCCAATCAGACACAAAATCATGAACAGAAATGTAGCTGTTGGATCCTGCCAAGTCAGAAAGGATTGCAATTTTTCTATTCTAGTCGCCAATTTACCCATTTCTGCTGCAAGCCTCCCGAGGATTATTCTTAACCGATCGTATCTGTATCTTATGATTCTGTCTTCAAATTTGGATGGAACTGGATCGAACTCCTCTTCCAATTCATCCACACTTGCTGCATTAACATGCGACAACTGCAAATCCACATGTGATAGGAGACCTGGCCTCTTTGGATACTGCAAGATGATATCCAGCATAAGGCAGAACAAAATACCAGGTAGCAAAATTTGAGGTTCAAGGATCAGAACAAAAATAATCAGGCAAACTATGAGTGATGAAGTAGGATTCTTCCACTGGCAAATCTTATCATATTGAGCGTGCAAGGCGACGAATCCACTCATAACAGCTTTGATCCTATCAAAATCAGCTCTTCCTCTGCGCATGCTCCACAGGCTTTCATTAGAATCTAGCATATACGACACAACCTCTCTTCTCCATGCAGGTTCTGTCTTGCTCATCCTTGAAGAGAGAAGCATAATGGTTTGTTTCCTCAAACCACTTAACTGAGTCCGAGACAAGGGGTTAGAAAAATGCAGCCTAGGAAGCTTAGGTATTAGGTAGATTTTCAAGAGATTGGCCATATCTGGACAGCAAAACCTGAAGGCTAATTGAATTTCACCCATCTTCTTCAATCCTGAAGGTTGCAGTTCTGCAAGTGGGAAAGAATATGTGTAAATCCTATTGGTTATCATTTCTGATAGATTGATTCTCACCTTCCCTATTCTTGCATCTATTCCTCTGTGATCTCCTTGTACTTCATGTAAATAGCCATTATCAAACACAGCGATTGTGATTGATGTGCATGGGTCATAGACATCCCAAGTGTACTGTTCATTCCACTTTGGATTAAGATTATCAATAACTGTTCTTGTCCGAACCCATTTGGGACCATATTTAGCCACACAATAAGCATCAGTACGACTTCCTATCTTCATCGCCGGCAAGCCAGAAGCATTCAAGATTCCCAATTCAAAAATTCCAACGCTGGATCTCCACAACCTCCGGATTGTTGGATTCAGATCACTGCTGAAACATGGGTCCTCATCAAATATATGATACCCACCATCCAAAGAGAGTCTCATATTAAGCCTACTAATAGCTCTTGCATTATTTTCAACCTCAGTGATATTGGGTCTCTCAAGATTATACCATTTAGCAGCTGGAGTTGCACCATCTAATCTCTTATCAGCATTCTTGACAGGAACTTTACACTTCCCTATGCTTCTATGGTTGTTCATCGTTCCCTGCTCTACACTTAAAAACAACTGTTGATCAAATGGTTCTAGCACAGCAAAGAACATTTCCTCATTCCATTTTGGGTTCCCTTTATTGTTATTCACTAACTTGCTTCTGGAAGTCAAACTCCCCAAGGCAGCTTGAACAAAAATCTGGGAGTCACCAACTCTATCTTCATCTACCAGGTCCTGGGCTTGGATCAAATTAATTCTAAGACACCAAATCCTAGGCGAGAGATATATCTGTGAACGAGTATTAAGAACGTTGTATGTGTTAACTATTGCTGATTCTAAATGCCTCGCTTCAGGAAAAGCCTCATCAGCCTGAGTTCCTATCCAATTTGAGAGCATTAATTTTCCTAAACTGATTCCTTTTTGATCTTCTAGCCAATACCACTGAGATGCTAGTGAACTATCAGTTGGAACCCGTGTAGGAATTTCAGAAATAGCAAAAGATAACCGACCCAGAATCTCACCAAACTTTGGAATCTTATCCTTCACCAAAATTTCAAGAGTTGGCTCTTGAATACGAGCTTTTTCTAAAGCAAAGACTTGATTCCATTCTGGGTTTGAGTTCCTGCTGAAGCACGTGGTGGTCATTTTTAGGCCTCCAACTTTCACCTCCACGTAAGGATCACAAGTGTTAGGACCTCTAATTCCTGGCAAGTCCTCAGCCCTCACAATCCTCACGTACAAGAAAAGAGTAGTTTCAACGAGGTCAGTGGCACTTGTGATACCAACATGGCTTGTGGCAGTCCTGGCACCGATACTTGGAGAGATCGCCTTCAAATTGAAATCTGCATTGGGTTTTTTCGAGCTTTGACCCGCCATTGGTTTTTTCTGGGACAACGTAAAATGATGGCACGAGGGACTGTACGGTATTGATGGATGGGCTAAGAAAATTCTCAATCATTGAAGTCTGTCCTCCTCATTAGGTTATGTAATAAAGTATTTATAAAAAAAATTCAAAATAGAAAAATCAAAATATGTTCCAAAATATTCTAACTTAATAGTCAAGATCATAAAATCCTTATCATTAATGGGAAGATTTTTTTAAATTATTTATTAATCAATGTAATATGAAATAAGTAAGTCTTCAGCTTCAAGAAATAAACAATAAATACAAAAACAGGAATAAATATAATCCTAATTAATGCCTATAAAATCATTCTTGAAGTTTCTTAAACCTTTTAAATTGATCTTGATTTTGCTATTTACGTTTACGAAAATGTGTTGGCATATGATTATATTTAGGTTTCAATTTAAAAAATTATAGTTCCATGAGATTTCTTTATGTGCATATAATTGTATTGAGCCTTCAATAAATTTTGAAGATGTCTCAACAAATTTTTTATTTTTATTCCTAATCAATTATGCCTCTTCTTTTTTTTTTTTGACTCATTCTTTTTTCCATTTACACTCTTCTGGCATTTTAAAAAAAATAAATTGAATTACAATTTTATTCTCTTTAATTAATTTTAACCAACTTTTTAATTTGCATATTTTAATTAGTTAAGACTCATAAGTTCCGATAAAGTATAACTAGAGTAAACCCATGCATCTACACAAATTCGCAAAAGCAAAATCTTATGCACCTTGAGATGTAAAAAACCGTATCCACACACACAAACACACACGAGACACACATACGTCATCTGCTACAAACTTCAAACTACTTTTTTCCTTCGAAATTAGTATTAACTTCAAATACTATGCACAACACGAATCGACATTCTATTTTCATAAAATATATGGAATCTAGACATAGTAGCCTTTCGAATGCCCATAGTAATGTTCCTCATACGCCAAGAAAAGGAAAAAACTGTTTTGCAGCTACTGAGGTAAATAATAGGGGCTAAAAAGTGTTTACAATATCACGGCTGCTATAAGGCATTAATCACTCATCAATGGCGTCCCATGAAGAACACCGCCCTGGAGACGACAATGACTTTTGGGCATAATAACAAAAGGACAAAGTTCAACAAAGCTTAATAATGTATCATAATCTCTAGGGATTATTACCAAAGTAGTCAGTCCAGCAACATAATACAGTATGAAGAGTATAAAATGACGCAATCAAATTTACAGGTAGAGGGTAAGAAATGAAAACAGACTCGTTCACAAACATTGTAACTTTGTCCCTTTTTTCCCCCCCTTTCCTTTTATTTTTCTGCGGTAAAATGGATAACTAAAATCATTATTGTAAGAGAATATGACTTTATTCGACTGAAGACAACTATTACGCGGACTTAACGAGCTTCAACAGGAATGGAGTAATCACAGGATCGTAGAACTGCACACTGAGAATAGAAAGCTCCATCCCGCTAAAGCAGATGAGTGGAGGGCACTTGTGAAGGATGACGATATAGCAGAAACTTCAACCTGAAAAGGCATCGACTCACAGATTCAGACACGAAAGAAGTGAATGTTCACTTCTCTCCCTCTTAATTCTGATGCTACTCCCCATTTTACTTCTCAGACACTTGAAGGTAAGAGATCTGCATCTGAAATTAAGGTACGCGGCACTCTTCTATGTTCCAAATTTCCTTGGCATACTGATCAATGGTCCTGTCGCTGCTGAATTTTCCACTCCCAGCTGTGCTTAGAATGGACATCTTCAGCCATCTTTTCCTATCCCTGCATCCAAAAAAAATTGGAAAATAATAACACATACTTCATAATAGGAACCCGTTAAACAATCATTCGTTATTAGTGACTCTTGACTCTGTCACCATTAGAGCCTCTCAAAGCAGAGGGGAGAATCAGATTTTTATAATATAGTGCCTCCCACAATGTTTGAGGCTAACTTAGGGGAGATGAATGAGGTGAAGACTGAGCAATACCAGTTTTATTAAACCAGCCTCAATGCATGCTCAAGTTAAATGAGTTCAAACATCTCAAAAACAAAAATGCAGAAACCAAAGTCTTGTTCACAATTTTGCTCTTGACAAGTAACAAAACATTAAATCGATGAACGAGCTTGTTGTACAATGCAGTCAGGAATGTTTCTTTGGTCTTTACCACAGATTGGTGAAGGAATAGAACAGTGAAGACCTGGGAGATGGTGTCTTACCGATAAGCAGCATCTACCCTTGCTTGAGCATCCATATAGCTGGGGAAGTCATGGCCTACGAGAAAATAGTCACCACGACCATAACCAGAATTTCCTTCCAACGACTCAAGCAGAGGGTTATAGTCATAGCTTCCAAATATCCCACTCCTAATGAACTTCTTCGCCTCTTCAAACCGAGGATCTGGTTTGAACTATAAATCACCCAAAAAAAAAAAAAAGTGCACGCAATATAACGTTGTTAGACATTTACTAATATTAGCAAGTATTATATCATCATTTTCATTGATTATTACAGCATTATCAAAAAGGGCTGCTACGGCATACCAGTCCATTCTCTCTTTCCTTTCGAAGGCGAGGGACATCTTCTGCTGTTGCTCCAAAAAGGAAAAAGTTTTCCTCACCAATTTCCTCCCTGATTTCAACATTAGCTCCATCTAAAGTACCGATAATGAGGCAACCATTCAATGCAAATTTCATGTTGCTTGTGCCACTTGCTTCCATGCCTGCTGTGCTGATATGCTGGGACAGCTCACTTCCTGGAATCAGCACCTCTGCCACAGACACATTGTAATTTGGGACGAACACAACCTGAGAATGATTGTCCATATAAAGCAGAGTAGTCGTAAATTAGCCTAATTCTAGATTGCAGCAAACCAGATAAAACTGTGCAAAATATAGTTCATGCATTGATTATTACAAGGCAATTACCAAATAATACATCATAAAAATGCAGTGCCATATATCATGAAAACATATGATGGAAACCCAGTGAAAATGGGAAGAACCATGTCATTTATGTACCAAAAGAATTGCTTGGGGCTACCCAATATGGAACTCCATCAAAATACCGATACATGCGATGTTTGGCAGGCAAATGGACAGCAAACTGGGCTTAGCTGATGGCAGATTATCCCAGTGCAGAATAAAAGAAATCACAACATGCAAGGAGCTATAGTATCAAAGGGAAAGTCACCTTCAAGTGGTCATTGACCTCAGGATCAGTGTTGACTACAGCCCCAACATCATTAACCAGCCTTACTATTCTTTTCGCATTTGTATACGTAGCAAAAGCTTTTCCTCCAATCATCACAGTGCGTGGAGTTGTTCTTTTCCTTTCTTCAGGCTCATCTCCTATTACGGTTAAGTCATAAGAATTATTTCCAGAATTCCGGTGTAAATATAGCATTTCAAGAAGAGTGGCATCTTAGGCGGTATCTTCTATATAATTGCTAGCAGAATATATATAAGCTACAATTGGGCTATAATTAGCATGAGACATAGAACTGAATAGGCAGGTAACTAAAAATCAACATAAAATATAAAATCTATAACAAGCCCCGCTATTTATTAGCCATGAACATTGGAATCACCTCAAATTCTATGTAATGCAAGAGGAAAACAAGTCTAGTTGTATATTAATTTTCATCATGAACACATAACTGTTGATAAAAAAATTGGAAACTCGGCCAAATTTATTGCCATACAATATCCGCCAATGAATATGTCACGGTTATACTCCAAATAGTGGGCTGTTTCTCATACCTTTAACTTCTTGTATCTATAAATCACACCCAGAATATTCAGTAGCTGTCTCTTGTATTCATGGATGCGCTTGACTTGTATGTCAAACAGACTATCTGGATCAATGCTCACCCCTGTCACCTGTAGAATGTACTGTGCCAACCGCTGCTTATTAGCTCGCTTTGCAGACAGCCATTCAGCTTGCAGTTCTTCATTGTCAGCAAACTATAGGAAGCACCAGGAACTGATGTGAGAATGTTGCAATCATAGGACTCAACAAGCAGGGAAGGAAAAATATCCACTCACCTGTCGAAGACCAGCAAGCAAATCAAGATTGGTTACCCATTGATCACTTTTTAACCATTTAGTGATTATCTTACTGAGCTCAGGACTGCAAAAGCGGAGCCATCTTCGAGGTGTGATCCCATTAGTTTTATTCTGGAACTTCTTTGGCCATATTGAAACATAATCCGCAAATAATTCTGATTTTAGAATGTCACTGTGTAATTGGGCAACACCATTCACCTTGAAAGAGATAAAAACCATTAGTCAAAAAATTTTAAATGAAACCAATAAGCAAAATTGTACAGAACAAATTTTAGAAAGAAAGTGTAAAAGATTGTGAGGTCAATCTTCCCCTTGTACCCCAAAAAAAAAAAAAAAAATCAGCCAATTTTGCACGGTGTATTTTAACAACAATAGATTTTCTGTATCCGCAGATGAAAAATATTGAATGGTATCCGGCATCTTTTATCATTAGCCAACTTTATACTCATTCCACAGACTTAATTAACCAATATACCATCACAGGATTTTATAACTTGCGGGTAATGTGCTTGCTAGAGAAACACCCGCATGGGACAAATTTACAGTTGTTTTAAATCCCCCAATATAACCACTTGGTGACTCTGGAAAAACAGTAGAACTATACAATAAAATGAGCTGCTGAAGACTTTGATGCGTTCACAGAGGTCAAATGCTTACAGCATGTGAGGACACCACACATAAATTTGCCATCCGAACTACTGGTTTCTGGGGATTATTGTCCATAATGCGCATGGCAGGAAGCTTACTCTCAAGGTCCAACCTTGTTGCACTTATAAATGCAGTGAACTGCAAGCATTTTATGATTTCCAGATTAAAATATATTAGCAAGACCTTCATGGAATTTTTGAAATGTTAAAAATAGAAGCCATGCATATTACCCTCTTGTCTATTTCTTCAATGATTTCCATAT